CCTCCTCTCTCTCTCTCTGTCTCACCCTCCCTCCCTCCCTCTTAGTCTCTCTCACCCCCCTCCCTCTCTCCCTCTCTTCCTCTCTTTCCTACTTCCCCCCTCTCCCCCCCCTTTCTCTCCTCTCTCTCTCTCTCTCTCCTTTTCTCCCTCCTCCCTCTTACTCTCTCTCTCTTTCTCTCTCTATCTTATCCTCCCTCCCTCCTCCTCTTTCCTACTCCCCCCCCCTCCCCCTTTCTCCCTCTCTCTCCCTCTCACCACACGGAGCAGCGTCGCAGCTGAAGGCCCACCAGCTGGCTGTGCTCGTCCCGAAGGCGAGTGCCGAACAGAACCTCCCTTCGCAGCTCCTCCACTCGTCAATGGAAAGGCTTGGGGAGCTGAGACGAAATGCCCCGCCCCCGTGACGTCCTGTCAGCCAGAGGGATACGTGTGTGTTTATTTTGTGTGCTTAGTTACATTTTGTTTTTAGTATTCTGTGTGTGTGTAGGGGCGTTTTTTGTGTTTTTGTGTGTAGTTACGTGTATATGTGTGTGTGTATATATATATATATATATATATATATATATATATATATATTATATATATATATATATATATATATTATAATATATATATATATATATATATATATATATATATATATATATATGTATGTGTGGTGTGTGTGTGTGTGTGTGTGGTGTGTGTTGTGTGTGTGCATGTGTGTGTGTGTAATGTTTTTTGTTCTTATATTTCACATACATGGGTTGTTTTTTCCTCTATTCTAAATATATAGCCGTGCCTTTTTTCTATTTTTCTATAGTTATAGTTTTTTTCTCCCTATTCTATGATATGATTAAATCTTTTTATTTTCTTCTATGTAAAGTATATGGCCATATATATATATATATATATATATATATATATATATATATATATATATATATATATATATATATATATATATATATATATATATATATATATATATATATATATATATATATATATATATTATACATATTATATATATAATATATATATATATATATATATATATATATATATATATGTATTTATTATTATTATTATTATTATTATTATTATTATCATTATTATCATTGTTATTATTATCAATTTTGCCATCTTGTATCCTGTGTAAACTCATATATATATATATATATATTATATATATATATATATATATATATATATAATATATATATTGTATGTATATTATATAATATATATATTTATATATTATATATATATATATTATCTAAGTGTAAATTCCACACATTTTTCTTATCCTAACCTCTACCTGTTATGTCCAGCATCTTATCGTCCGTCAGGTTGACCTCCATCTCGACCTCGTGCCACCGATCCCTTGGCAGATGCTCGAGGTCAGGGGTCAACTTTATGCCGTTCCCGTCCACGTAGATGTCCATCACGTCATCCTCGGGCCAAAAGAAGGACTTTGTGGTGCCGTGTGTCAAGGGAATGCCGACCGAAGTGAAGCGGTGAGGGATGCAGTCTGCGGTGGTAAGTTTTGGAGGGGTTGAAATGGGTAAGGTGGGTGGGTTGGGTGGGTTGGGTGGGTGGGTAAGGTGGGTAGGGTGGGTGGGTGTTTGGGTGAGTGGGTGGGTAAGTGGGTAGGGTGGTAAGGTGGGTGGTTTGGTAAGGTGGGTGGGTAGGGTGGGTTGGGTAAATGGGTGGGTAGGGTGGTGGGTAAGGTGGTGGGTGGGTAGGGTGGGTGGGTGTTTGAGGTGGGTGGTAAGGTGGTGGGTAGGGTGGGTAAGGTGGGTGGGTGGGTTAAGGTGGGTGGGTGGGTTGGGGGTGGGTAAGGTGGGTGGGTAAATGGGTGGATAAGGTAGGTGGGGTGATGGGTGTTTCGGTGGGTGGGTAAGGTGGGTAAGTGGGTGGGAGGGTGGTTTGGTAGGGTGGGTGGGGTAGGTGGGTGGGGTGGGTGGGAGGGTGGTTTAATAGGGTGGGGTGGGTAAGTGGGAGGGTGGTGGATAAGGTGGGTAGTGTGGGTGGGTGTTTGGGCGGGTGGATGTGTGTTTGGTAGGGTGGGTTGGTGGGTAGGGTGGGTGGGGTGGGTGGGTAGAGTGGTTAAGGTGGGTAAGTGGGTGGGTGAGGGTGGTTTGGTAGGGTGGGTGGGTAAGTGGGTGGGTGTTTGGGTGGGTGGGTAGGGTAAGTGGATGGGTGGGTGGTGGTTTGGTAGGGTGGGTGGTGGGGGTGTTGGGTGTGGTTGGGTAGGCGGGGTGGTGGGTAGGTGTTGGTGGGGTGGTGGGTGTTTGGTGGGGTGGGAGGTGGGGTGGTGGGTGTTTGGGTGGGTAGATAGGTGGGGTGGTGGGTAAGTGGGTGGGTGGTGGTAGGGTTGGTGGGGGTAGGGTTGGCAGGGTAGGGTGTTTTGGGTAGGGTGGGTGGGCGTTTAGGTGGGTTGGTTGATGGGTAGTGGATTGTTAAGTGGGTAAGGTGTGTAAATGGGCTGACGAGTGTGTAAGTGGGTTGATAAGTGGGT